ACTGGGGTACACTAGCTGTTTTGTTGCTCTGCAGTTCCTGTTATTATTCAAACCTTTTTGAGTTTCTATAGTTGCATGCCACAACGATTGAGGGTGGAGTTAGTCCAGGGTAGTGTTGGCACCAATAAAGGACTGTTTGTTGAAAGCCTGCTCATCATTTGCCTTTTTATTGCTACCAGAACAACAGAAACTAGAATCACTAAATCTAACACATGAATAAAAGCCCTTCAGAGGCTTAACAGGGGCGATTACCAAACAGTACACACCAATGGTTCTTGGCAGGAAGTGAGGGACAAGAAGTAAAGAATTATTTCATGAAGTGAAAAATTTGGGGAGTGCTTCAAATAGAAAATATGTAAATTTACAAAATGAGAGGGCCCTCAGAACAAACAACTGTTCTCTTTTGAAATAAAAAAGTTTAAGAACATACCCAGTCTCTTTCAGGAGCACTCCTTTCAAAAAGAAACCATCAATCAATCCATGGGGCGATAACAAACTGCAAGCTCATCTGCATCTTGTGACTCACCCTACAAAGGTTAGCCTTTTTGCATTCTCTAGAAAAAGATCATCTTGACTGACATTTCTCTGACCCCTTCCTATACCACTGATGACTAGTTAGCATAATATAGTGAGACTTCTATCCCTTAAATCCCAGGATTCACTTCAAATGATTCTTTATATCAAATTTTCACAGAAATGTACTATTCATACCCTGGCCATGTAATCTGAGTAACAAAAATGAAAAGCTTAGCCTGGTCATGTAATTACAGTAATGAAAATGTAATATGATTAAATAAAATTTGTGAAACAGTGAACTTTATTTTAGAATGATGACTTTTTGAGCAATAACAAAGATCAGAAGAGTTGGTGATGTGGTATTGCACTGTCCAGCATGTTTGAGGCCCTGGGTTCAGTTCCTAGGATTAGAAAAAAAAAAAATCAGAAAAGAGAGAGAAAGAGGCAGAGTTGGATTTCTGTGGAGCATAGGCAACAGATCAAAAAGGAAGGCGTGCCTGAGGTACTCCACATTCAGTTACAAATTGGATGTAACTAAAGCACTGGGACAGGATGGCATTCACCTAAGGATTTTGAAGGCACTCAAAGATGAAATCATGGAACTTTTGGCCAAATGTGTAAGCTGTTGTTGCAAATAGAGTACCTAGGAGTTGTTAGAGGACTGAGAGAGTTCTAATGTGATTCCCATCTGTAAGAAGGACTACTGAGGAAACTCTTAAAATAAGATATAGATCAATGAAACTGGCTTCTAGGCATAAAAGACAGGAAAAGAGTAAAGTAGGGTGAATGTAGTTGAACATCCTTATATAACTAACTAATTGGTGTAAAAGCTGCATATCTTTAGTAAGAGGATACCGTAGCACTGTGGTCTCTGAAGCAGGGAAGCATAGGGACTAGCTTAGCAACTTGGGGCTCTGATAGGTTTGGGCTATGCACACCCCTCTCTTCTAATAATGCAGACCCTTACCTGCACACACTATGCACACATATACCTCCCCACATGTACCTTAGCAGCCTGACAGCAACCTAGAACTCCTCTACCTGCATCAAGCTGAAGGAACATCCATCTTTGAACAGTGGAGTAAGTTTTCACCTCCCTTTAACAACTATCAACAGTATTGCCAGGTATATATCCAGGTCAGAGGGTAAGGCCAATCTGTACAAACTGATTTTGTGTGTATACACAATAATCATGCAAAAATAAGCAAACTATATCCTTTAAATGACTGTTTAGAGAAAAAAAATCCTATTTACTATCTTATGCATATGCATAATAGGGCATGCATATGATTAAAATCATATGCATTATGGAAAGGGACCTGCACAGTGAGCAAGGCCTATTTAATTGAAGTCTGTCAATCAAAATAGAGAGCTACCCAAATTACACCCCTTTAGCCACAAAATTCTTCTTTCTCTTGAACCTCATAAAAGACACCCAGGGTTCTTGAGTACCATCACTAGTGTGGCCCACTGTTAATCTTGATAGTGTATTCCTTTCTAATCTGTAATATTGCTTCACCTTGAATAAATTTTCCCCGGTACTTTGCATTCTATGTACACCCTTACTTTATTCTTGAACAAGACACCAAGGACCACACCCAGTCCAGATCCAAGCTACCAGTAACATCTTGGGAGTTAAGGTGTTGAATAGTAATTATGTGACCAATGGTAGACATAATTTACTTAAAAAACAACTTTGAACAAATTTATTTGTAGTTAGTGGTTACAAAACTACAAACGATACAAAACACTAGTAAATGTTCATAAGTAACACTTTCCTTGATGCATCTTTTAGGGTTTTTCGTAAACATATTGTATGAAAATGTAGAATAGCAAATTTACATTTGTATATTCTCTCCTAAGTTACACGTATTGGGAAAATGTCCAGTCAAGATGTCGAAAGGAAATTGAAGTATGACAACTTGAATTCAACCCCTGAAACCTGTGTAAGGGTGGAAGTAGAGAACTGACTCTCAGACTTGTCCTCTGGCCTGTGGCATATGTGTGTTCCCCCCAACATATGATATATAACAAACATACATACATGCACTAATAATAAAGTTTTTAAAAAGTTTTAAAAGGATTTTGAGAAGGAAAATGAGTTCATTTTGACGTGTACTCTAGTGTATTTGTAATCTGTCTCTCAACTTGTAGACCACTGTAACTTCAAACATTAACAGAGAAGATGACATCATCTGAGACTATAATTTGCACAGATCTGGAGGACAGCAGTGGGGTATGGGCACTGCTTATAGTATGGAGCAGGGATTAACACACACAGATCCTGTACTTGTGTAGTGCATGTGTATTTTAAGTGGTCACAATATTATAACACTTCAGAGTCTAAACTTAACAATATTATATTGTACACTTGAAAATTAAGAGGCTAGGGTATGGGAAGATGTCTCTGTTAGTAAAGTGCTTGCCATACAAGAATGAGGGGCTGAATTTGGATCTCCAGGAACCACATACAAGTCAGGAAGCAGTGGCGCACATTTGTAAACTCAGTGCTGGGAAAGCAGAGACAAGTTGATCTCTGGAATTTGCTGGCCGGCTAGTCTTGATGAAGTGGTGAGCTCCAGGTTCAGTGAGAAACCCTGTCTTAAAAAATAAGTGGAGAGTGACAGAGGATGACAACTAACATTGACCTCTGGCCTCCATACACATGGGCACATGTACCTGTACATAGGTATGTACACACATGAATACATATACACACTTCACTATACAAAAACAGAAAAATTAAGAGTGTGGGTTTCATGTTAAATATTTACCATGACAAAAGAGGAAGAAAACCTTTAGCAATATACTTGGTATTTTTAGAAAATATATGTGTATCTGTAAAAATAGGCAACTACATTAGCTTTGCCATGGGAAAGTGTATTTTGTGACATCAGTATTGGCTTAATTTCTTTTCACATTTATTAATTGATAGCATTATCTTCTCTCTGTTTTAGATAATTCTAAAATTCATTACTTTCAGAAAGTAAATGTAATGTGTGAAGACTTTAAAAAATCCACTTATGCCAGGGATGGTGGCACACGCCTTTAATCCCAGCACTCGGGAGGCAGAGGCAGGAGGATCTCTGAGTTCAAGGCCAGCCTGGTCTACATAGTGAATTCCAGGACAGCTGGGGCTACAGGGAGACCCTGTCTCAAAAAGACCAAAAAAAAAAAAAAAAAAAAAAATCCACTTATGTGACTGAAATATATTTCCTTCTTTTATTTATGTAGAATTAAAGATGGAGCAACTTTCCCAAAGTCATAGATTGTAAGCGGTTAAATTAAAGTGAAAACTAATGTTGGTTTTATTCTATATTGCCTTTTTTGTTGCTGGATTCGCTTGTTTTTTTTCTTTGTGGTGCCGGGAACTGAACCCAGACCTATGAGTGCTGATTAAGTACTCTATCACTGAGGAACATACCCAGCCCAAATTCTGTGTTCTTGAAAGATCATTTAATTTGTTTCTTGTGGTGCTGGGGGTTGAACCTAGATGCTTGTGTATGCTAGGCAAGGGTTCTATTACTAAGTTACATCCTTAGCCCATGAAAGGTAATTCTTAATAAGCAATGACTTGATTAAAATTTATTCTCATTAAACAAATGAATATAAACTCACACAAGACAGACTCCTGCTTCTAATAATACTATTTTAGCTGTTAGTACTCGTGGTGGTTTGAATGAGCTATGTTCCCCTAGGCTTAAATATATGAATACCTGGTTTCCAGTTTGTGGCACTGTTTCTGGGAGGTCATGGAACCTTTGGGAGGAGCAGCCTTGCTGGAGGCTGAGGGCAGGCTGTGAGAGCCTTGTCCTACTTCCAGTTCCATCTGTTTCCTGATGGGTTCAGGATGTGAGCTCTGCCTCCTGCTTCTGCTCCATGCCTGCTACTTGCTGCCATGCCTCCCTGCCATGATGGACACTTATCTTTCTGGAACGCTAAGCCCTAAAAACTCTTCCTTCTGTAAGTTGGTCTTGATGTTTAATCACAGCAACAGAAAAGTAACTAAGATACTACTCAGTCAGACTGTCTTCCTATTTTGTTTTTTTTCCTATGCAGAATTAACTACCTAAATTAAGCTTGTTTTATGTGGATTCTTTTATTTTTGAAACAGGGTTTCATTATGTAGGTCAGACTGTCCTCAAATTCACAATTGTTCTGTCTCAGTCTCCCAAGAGTGTGAGGTAAATAGGTAGGTGTGCATCCCCATGCCCAGCACTCTATGGCAATTCTAAGAGCCCAAAAGGTAAGTAGGTTCAAAACATATAAAAAATTTACTTTTCATTTTTCTTAAAAGAAATTAAAGATATAGTTTGTATTGTTTTGAATCTGGGTGGGATTTCTGAATACTGCAGTCTAGATTAAAGATGTGGAAAAGAATACATAAGAAGAAAAGTGTGTTAATAATGTGTTAATAATTCAAGATCACATAAGGTAGTGATTTTAGGAGTCAGGGGAGGTATGAAATCTATACATGCACTCACTGTGGGCCATTTTTTGAAGCCTGATCTGCGCATATGCAGGATGAGGCCCTGTAAGACACAGCAGAGAGAGTTCACTTGAGACAGGAAGAAGCTGAATGGTGAAATCAGAGTCTATGCAGTGCCAGGAAAGTGTGTAGCTTTAGATCAGTCCGAATGTATGGAGGCTTCACTTGCTATTCTGGGCGAAGTATTTGAGGTTGTGGAACAATTATTGTTCAGAAGTAAGAAAAACGCCCTTAAAATAAGAAGCAGATCCTTGGATTAAGTGCAAAGTCAAAACAGATTATCCTAGCAAATAAATGTTACCAAATCTGACAGAATCAATGAAATTTCAATATTTTAAATTCTTGCCAGAACAAAACTGCATTTTCTAAAGGAAAATACTGGAACCAGAAAAATTACAATAAAAGTTCTATAGAGAAAAAACTCCAGAAAAATGTGACCCAGAAGTGGATGGAAATTGAGTGTATGATGATTTTATATCTGGCACAAAAGCACTTTGAAGCAGCTTACCTCACTACACTGGGGGACATACAGCCACAGCGAATGAGCAGGGCAGTCTTGGAAAAACAATTGATGTGTAAAAAGGAGCAAACGTAATTTTAAGTGTAAAGTTTACAATAGCTGAAATGAAAAATTCTCCAAATGGGACCAGCAATAGGTTGAAGATAGACTAAAAGGCAATGGGCTGGAAGTCAAATTGTTGTATCTCCTCTCAAATACACAGAGAAAAAGGACTTTAGTAAATGAGCAGAACTTCAGTAATCTGTAGGAATATCAAACAATCTAACATGTGTTAATGAAGTCCCACAATGTGAGGAAAGAAAGACTGTCCCTAAAAATTGGTGAAAATATACAGAATCAAGAACCCACCTAGCTCTAAGGAGGATAAAAAAAATCTTCCCCTAATATAATCAGTATCTTACCAATGAAAGGCGAATATAAAGAGAAATTTTGAACGTAGCCAAAGTAATGAATATAATACTTGGAAAACAAATAAGCAGGTGATCAGGTTTTTATATATGACAGTAGCAAAAAGGTGGCAGTAGTAAGTAGAGCGATACTGTTACAAGGTCCTTACATTTATTTATTAATGTAAGCATTAATTTTAAGTTATAATGTTATATACATTGTCATGAAGTCAGTATAGTAATCACTAAAAACGAATGCCAAGTAGTAGATTAACAAGTCAATAGAGGAATCAAATTTTAAGGGTGCAGGAGTGAGGGAACAGAGGATTGACAAACTCATGGAAGAAATAGAATAAAAAAAGCACAAAAGGCTTTCCATACATTTAATAAGATATAATAAAGATAATATAAAGTATAACCATATTTAATAAGTGCTAAAACTTGCCAAGTGTCTGTGCCTATGATTCTATAATAAAGTACATACTGATTTTCTCCTCACGAGAACCAAAATTCTAGTTACAAAAAGTACTTCTACCTTTTTAGATTAAGAAATTAAGACACTAAGAAGTTAACTATCTTGCTCAAGGCCCTGGCATTGTAAGAGATGAAGTCTTTGGGATTTGAAATAGGCCTTTCAGATGGAATCTCTTTTCCCAACTACCATGCCTCAGCCCCTCTGAAGACATGCTCAGGGCAGCCCCCGCCCCTCTGACTTAGCAGAACTGGGTGGGGTCTGAATGGCCATTCTGACAAGTTCCTAGGTGATTCTGATGTTTTAGAAAAGTTTAAGAATTTATTTTTATTTGATGTGAACGAGCACTTGTACCTATGTGCATCATGTGCATGCCTGATGCATGTGGAGGCCAGAACAGGATGCCAGATCCCCTGGAACTGGACTTATGGATGGTTGTGAGCTGCCATGGGGGTGCTGGTAACCAAACTGGTGTCCTGTGCAAGAGAAGCAGTGCTTGTAACTGCTGAGCTATTTCTCCAGCCCCCGTGGTTCTGATCTTTGAGCCCCACTCTGAGTAACTATTATATAAACACTATAATTCTTTTTCAGAAAAGTCTCACTTTTTAAAAACAGGGACCTAGGACTGACATGAGAGAAGACATACATTTTTTTACATAGGAATTAAAACACACACACACACACACACACACACACACACACACACATATATATATATATAATTATACATGTATATTCTACAGTGAAAAGACTTGCAGAATGTAAGTTCCATTTCTAGAGGGCATAATACAAACACAGCGTTTACCTTAGGTGTCTGAGCACAGTGTTACTTTTAAAAGTTAAATAATACTCTAGGAAACAATAATAGAGAAAACAGCTCTCTGTTTCTGAATATATTTAGTTTTCCAGATTTTAATTGTAAGTCATTTCTTCTGATGTAACTAGAAGCTCCTTACATTTTCCTAAATCATGACAAGATGAACAATATTCTTCAAAATTCCTTAACCAGTTATGAGGAATTGTTTTCATTACTCTTCTGTTGCTGTGATAAAACACCATGACCAAAGAACTTATAGAAGGAAGAATTTATTTGGCTTTCAGTTCCAGAGGAACAAGAGTCCACTATAGCCAGGAGGTTTTACAGCAGAGGCTGCCGGTGGTGCAGAAGGCTGAGTACTCATATCTTCAGGTTTATAGAGCAAATAGAGACAGAAACTGGAAATAGGCAAGGCTATGAACTCTCAAAGCTTGCCCTCAGTGATATGATTCCTTTAGCAAGACCATGCCTCTTAAACTTCCCCAAACAGCTCACTAACTGGGGTAAGTGTTCAAATACTTGAAGCCTGTGGGGGACATTCTCATATTCACAATGGGGTTAGAAATGGTGAGAAAGGGGATTTTCCAGTTTTTTAAATTTCTAGAGATCTAAATAGGATCTCTAAGAGAGGCAGAGACAAAACCCCCAAAGGATTGCAATGAGTTTATTTCTTGAGATTCTCCCCAAGGGTCTCTACTCCTTTAGGTCTTATATTCTATTAGGTCTTAGAATCCCCTGTGAAAACACAAAGTATGTTTCATAGTCAACAGCTCAAAGAGGTTGGCTTTCCAAACAGGACTGAAGAAGAGGCTCAGGGAAAGCAGGAGAGGCTACTAGTTAAAGTGAATTTTTGCTAGAATATTCCAGCAAGCCCATTGTGCTTGCCTCAGAAATTTCCCCAGGTTTGCCTGAGTATGTGATGTCACTGGGCTTCTTCTCAGAGTCAGGTGCAGTTTTAGATGCACACGTTCTTTACCAGCCAAATTTTCCTATTAGATCACTGAGGCATGCAATGTTTTTATTTTATTTTATTTTTTTAAGCAAAAGAAAACACCTATTTGGTTGATGAATACCTTTATTACACTTCCTGCTGATTCAATGAACTTTTGATTAGCCTTACTGATTACTAACTTCACGTGGGGGAACATGTGTGTGAGTGGTTTGGTAATTATTTGAAACACTTGCTGATAGGAAGATTTTCAAAAGCTGACTAAAGGTGTAAGGCAGATCACAGTTTGCCTGTTTTCTTTGGACTGACTGTAGATGCTAATAGCTGTTAATTAGAGAGAACAAGAAAAGCAGTGGTTGGTAACTCCCTTCTAAACTTGGAATGGAAGCAGACTGCCCCTTCTCAAAGGCTTAAGGCAAGCAGCTCTAATCAGGTGTTGTATTGGTTTTACAAATCAGATTAACAGTTCTGTTTGTAGATCTTTAATCAGAAAGCAGTTCCTGAAGGACTTATGTGATTGGTGCCAACAATAAGAAAAACAAAACTCTGAATATGGAAAAAATACAGATGATAGAAGGCCAAAGGGATCCTGAACGCCTCCAATGCAGATAACATGGCCCTGAAATCACAGACAGCTTGCATTTTCATTATCACTAAAAAATACACTGTCTTAAACCATATCCTCCTAAATTTAAATCTGATGGTCTGAGGGCATACCCTTAAATTCAGAAGCAGAATAGCAGAATATTTTTCAAAATGTGTTGAATATCGTGCTGGGGGAAACAAACAAACAAACAAAAAACAGACTTAGGTGAAAGTTAAAATCCATAAAAGAAATTATTAAAGATTTTGAATAACAGACTCAGGATGAAGGAGATCAAATACTTGGATATTTAAGTGCACTTTGACAATTTTCACTGGCTTAGCCAATTTTGAAAAACCACAGACTCAAACTAGAATTACTCCAAATCTTTATAGTTCAAGTTCTTAATTTAAAAGAGGGCACACATGAAATAAAATTGATTTTTAAAGATTGGGTATTCTCATATCAGAATCAGAAACAAATGAAATTCACATGCCAAAATCACAACGAAAGAATAATAAAATGGAAAGACAACATACTATGTCCCCACCAAACTCCACCAATCCTGTAGAAGAGTTCTACAAGGAGAACCCCCTTAGAGATAACCCAGGGCACTGAAAAAAAAAAAAAGGGATAAACTTCTGAATGAAAATCACAAAAAAGATAGACATTGAAGAAAACTCAGGCAGAAATGAAGAAGGAAGTGCAAAACTCAATAAGTCAACTTGAAACAACAAGGGAAAGCCTCACCTCTAGAATGAATGAAATGGAAAACAGAATATCAACACTGGAGGATAAACTTGAAGAATTGGGCCACTCAAGCAAAGATTATGGAAAATTAAAAAAACACAGGAATGGAATAGGCAAGAGATGTGGGACACCATGAAAAGACCAAATCTACATATCATAAGCATAGAGGAAGGAGAAGTATCTTAATGGTGTTGACCAGATCTTAAACAGGATTGTAGAAGAGAATTTCCTGAAATTAAGGAAATACATCCCCATACAAGTACAGGAAGCACATAGAACACCAAATAGACAGGATCAGAAAAGAAACTCCCCACAACATATCATAGTAAAAACACTAAATGTACAGAACAAAGAGAGAATACTGAAAGCAGCAAAAGAAAAACAACAAGTCACATACAAAAGAAAGCCCATCAGAATTACAGCTGATTTAGCAATGCAAACTAAGAAAGCCAGAAGAGCCTGGACTCTGGACCAAGGTATTTCTAGTTCTACATGACAATAGATGTCAGCCCAGAATACTTTTATCCACCAAAAAAATGTCTATAATAGTTGAAGGGTAAAGAAAA